GGCTGGGCTTCCCCAGCCACTCTGGGCAGCTTTCAACAAAATATTAAAATAGTAATGCATCAAACATTAAAAGTTTCCATAAACAGGGCTGCCTTCAGATGTCTTCTAAAAGTCTGGTAGTTGTCGTTCTCTTTGACATCTGGTGGGAGGGCGTTCCACAGGGCAGGGGCCACTACCGAGAAGGCCCTGTGCCTGGTTCCCTGTATCTTGGCTTCTCACAGGGAGGGAACCGCCAGAAGGCCCTCGGAGCTGGACCTCAGTGTCCGGGCAGAACGATGGGGGTGGAGATGCTCCTTTAGGTCTACTGGGCCTTTGAGGCCGTTTAGGGCTTTCAAGGTCAGCACCAACACTTTGAATTGTGCTTGGAAATGTCCCCCTTATTCTGCCTTGGTGGGATCACACTTGGAATACAGTGTCCAGTTCTGGGCGCCCCAATTTAAGAAGGGTGTCGACAGTATGGAACACAGAGAGGAGGGTGACCAAGATGATGAAAGGTCTGGAAACCAAGCCATATGAAGAACAGTTGAAGGAATTAGATGGCGCTGTGGGTTAAACCACAGAGCCTAGGACTTGCCGATCAGAAGGTCGGAGGTTTGAATCCCCGCGACGGGGTGAGCTTCCATTGCTCAGTCCCTGCTCCTGCCAACCTAGCAGTTCAAAAGCATGTCAAGTGCAAGTAGATAAATAGGTACCACTCCAGCGGGAAGGTAAACGGCGTTTGCGTGCGCTGCTCTGGTTCGCCAGAAGCGGCTTAGTCATGCTGGCCACATGACCCGGAAGCTGTACGCCGGCTCCCTCGGCCAGTAAAGCGAGATGAGCGCCGCAACCCCAGAGTCGGCCACGACTGGACCTAATGGTCAGGGGTCCCTTTACCTTTAGCCTGCTAAAGTGGAGACTGGTTAGCATCTTCAGATATCTCACGGGCTGTCACATGGAGGCTAGGCCCCGAACCAGTGGCTTCAAGTCACAAGAAGGAGATTCCAGCTAAATATCAGGAATAACTTTCTGATGGGAAGAGCCACTCAACAGTGGAACAGTCTCCCTCAGGAGATGATGGTCTCTCCTTCATCGGAGGTTTTTAAGCAGAGATTAGATGGCCCGCCTGTCATGTATGATCTAGCTGAGATTTCTGCAATGCAGAGGGTTAGAATATAGACAACCCCTGGTTTCCCTTCCAATCCTACAATCCCACAATTCTGATTCCTGCTAGGATACGCGTCTTTACGCCGGCTTTTGACACCCGAGGTGCACGTTTTCAAAACCCAATATTAAACGGTGTCTAATATTGAGCGTTAATACCCTGGGACCTTGGGGGTCAAGGGCAAGCAATTAGTAATAATAACCCTTTCCCATTTTTTTTGCAAAATGTCTGCTGCGCGGCCAGCTGTCCTTTTGAAAAATTAATCCCTCTTTGTGGTTTTAACTCTTGTTTTAATTACGAAGGCTCCTTACGCGTCTCGAAGATGGGTGCAAAGGTTTTAAGATATAAGGCGTGCGATTAAACGAAGAACAGAGGAGGAAACACCTTTTAAAAGAAGGAGGGAGATAATGAGAAAAACAAGGCGCTCGTCTGCAACAAAGTTCCAGGGAGAGATCCGCGGTTCCTGGATGTGGAGGCCTGCATTGCCTGTCACTCTGTCATTCGCCAAGACATTTGAAGGACAAAATTGGAGAGAGGGGAGGGGGCTTCAGGGTGGCGGAGGGGAGACAGCGATTCTCTTTCGTATCCGGCTGTTGCAATTCCCCATAAAATACCCCCTTCTCTTTCTTTCTCTCTTTCTCTCTCTCTTTCTGTCTCTGTGCTATCTTTTGAAATCCACCCGTTTCCAAAGAGGAACGCAGTGACTTGTCAAATGTTCAGCTGGGTGGGGCGTCTGCGTGTGTGGAAAACGGCCACAGGGAACCCGGCCTTTCCGTAGAGAAAAGTCTATATTCTTTGGAGGAAACGGCAGGTTGCTGCCCAAGGTATCCGTGGGGTGTCCCAGCCAGGCGGGCCCTCGCCTTTGGCACAGCCCCACGGGCATTGAAACGGGGGCACGGTCCTGGGAAACAAAGCGGAAGGATGGAAGAGATAGTCCTCTGCGGGGTCAGATCTCTTTGCTTAGCTCTGCGGTTCCGTTTTGAGATTTCTAATATCTTTTTCCAGGGCAGATTTTTGCACCCTGAGCCAGGGAGAAGGGGTGCAAAAGCCCCAGCGACCCCCACTCAGCTGCCCCTAAGGCACCCAGGAAATGCCGCAAACTAGGGGTCACCAGGGCACACAGATTTTGAGGGAAGGAGCGGTCTCGGTGGCGCGTCCATTAATGTGGACAAGGATCCTCAAGGCTTTTCTTCAGAGGCCACCATGACTGACAAACTCCCTCGAGGGAACGAGGTTTGGGGGGAACTGCTAAACAACACAGCCGTAAACCATCTCAAGCGTCAAATTCCTGCTCAACTATTTGCCTGGAAGGAAGTCCCATTCAACTCACTTCCGAGGCCGTTTTGTGATTCTCAAACTTTCGGGCGTTTTCCTCCTTCCTCCCCACAACATCTAAAACGCAGAATAATTCGCTTTAGCGGAAAGCAGAATCCATGCAGAGCTTTTGCGTGTCAAGTGAGGGGTCACCCTTCCCATCAGGCCCAGGAACCCGGATCAATAACGTTTAGTACAACCTGGAAATAGGGGGCGAGGCAAGGAGACGGATCAGGCCCCTGGCCCCTGAGATCATTCAGTCTGGCCCTCTGCAATGGAGAGCTTGCCACCCAAATCTTTTGCTTTGCCACTGGCTGGCCTAGGAAGCGACCTGGTTCTAAATTAAGACCACTGCTGAGGGTTCCTCTACAGGCAGCCCTACCTGGAGATGCTGTCAGAATTTGAACCCAGCACCTTCCGAGTGTGGAATCCGGGCTCTGGCACCGAGCCCCTTACAGACCCTTTCCACATCCAGCCCAGTGGCTTCATTCCTCTTCTCGAGATTTTGAAATAGAAATTAAGGACTGCGGCCGCCCGCTGTAGCCACTAGGGAAGACAGCCTGCCTCCCCTTGCCCCCCTGCCTGGGGGTCAGCATCCTTTCCTGAACAGGCCAGGAGCAAGAGGTCCATATAGACACGACCACTTAGGCTAATAATAAGCCTTCATTATAATCCCCCATAGTGTTTTGAGAATAAGCAAATATAGGATTTCACATTTGGGCATGATAAACCCTCGGATTTCAGGACTCGCCAGCTGCGGTTTCATTTAGAGACCTTTAAAATTAATGGGCTATCTTTTTCCAAAAGCCGTAAAAACCCAAACTGGGCGTCGTTCCGTATTCTACAGAGCATCGCGGCTCGTTTATTCGGATTTCCACACACCGGGTCCTGCTGTTCAGCCCTGAAAGCAGGCGCCTTGATCAAACAGCCGGACAGGGCCTCTGACCATGCGCAGAGTGCTGCAAGCCCAGGAATCTCAGCTCTAAGTCTGGACATTGCCCCATCTTATTTCAGACAGATAGTTTCAGGGAGAGATTTTTGGACCACAGCCCTGACCATTGGTCATGCTGGTTAGAGTGGGTGGGGACTGGAATACGGCGATTGCCCCCACCGCTGAGGTTTAAAGGCCCGGACTTGGTGACCCACAGTTGTGGCGGTTTCAGAAACGGCTGCAAATAATTGTTACTACGGATTCAAAAGCTTGCTAACTTTCTTCAGGCAGGGAAGACGAACCAAAAGATCGATCCTTTGGAAAACTCGACAACAGAAGCCAAAACATTTCCCAGTAGGAAATAGCTTGACGAACTTTAAGCTGCAAAAACCAGCGCCGAAATTATTTAGTTCTTCAAAATTACTCGCCTACCTTTGCAGGGACTCCTTCACACATTCCACTGTCCCGTACGTCTGTACGGTATAAACTTGCCTGCTATTTATTTCCAAGTTCAGATGGACCAGTTAAAAGTAAAATAAATTTGTACTTTAATAACATTTTCAGCCAACAGGGGGCACCGGGCACCCCACTCCATAGAAGCCCCTCCAGGGTGTGCCTGAAATTTGTGGGTTTATACATTCGATGTGTGCCTTTTTAACCTAAGTTTCTAGCCCTCAAGAGACTGAACAGGTTTTTTCCTGCAGCAATGAGTCCCACAGCTATCCAAGAGATCGCAGAAACAGACGATCACCCCATTGCAGAACGGCGCCCCCTACTGCTGACCCAGAGGAGACAACGCTTCCGTCAAGCCGCATAACCAATGCCCCCTGCAGGAGACCCGTGGAAGCGCAAGGTTGAAAACAGCGCCTCCTGCTGTTGAACCCATGGCCCTGCAACTCACAAAGGACTATCCATATTTACAACAATCGTGCAAAGCCGTCCCCCCGGGATATATATTAGGGGTACCGCCCAGTCCTGTGGAAACGGAAGCCCTCCCCTCGACCCGCCACAAACGGTCTGCATTAACCGCAATGAGACGGTGCCCCCTGCTGTTGACCTCCAGGCACTGCAGTTTGCAGATAATTCGCACCCCAACAAATTTTGGGGAGCGAGGGTCCTGTAACTGCAGGGCTTTGGGGCCGAAGAACACCAAACACAGCAGGCCGTGATTTGCGTGTTTCGAAGGCATTTGCATCACACACCTATCCAGAGCCTTGGCCTGGCCAGTTCAATGTTGCCAGCACTGGCCGGCAGCATCTCTCCAGGATTTCGAGCCAGGATCTGACCGAACCCTTCCACATTCTGCACTCCAAGCAGTTGCTCCGCCGCCCAGCTACAACCCTTCATTTACAAACCAAGACTCTAGACCTCATGGCTTCCCCTTAAGACCCAGGCAAGACAGGACCAGATAGTTCAGGACTGGCCGGCAGAAGCTCTCCACGATTTCCAGACCCGGGCAGGCAGCATCCTTCTGCACTCGGACTCCCCGGCTGAGCCACAACCCAGGACCCACCTCGTGCCTGCCCGCCCCTCCTCCGGAGAGATCCAGGATCCGGGACCGCTCTCTGCAAGGGGATGGAGGGGGTCGTGTAAAGTGGGGAGGGGGCGACTTACCGGGCGTTTTCTCCAGCCGCCCCTTTCTCCCCCCGCACAGTCTGACTTTGGAGATTAAAATGAGCAGTTGCTTCTGGCATAAAGACTTGGTCCCTCGAGGGCAAACCTTCCTCTGCGTGGAGACGGGCCGGCTGGCCACCGGGTCGCGGATCTCCCGTTTCTGCCGGATCAAGGAGCTGGCTAAGGCGGCCATGCCTGCCCCATCCGGAGGCGAGCAGGACTAAGGGGGCGAGGGGTTTCTGGGGGGCGAGGGGGGCGCCCCCTCCTCTCTCTCTCTCTCTCCCTCCTCTCCTTCCACGCCCTCCCAGGTCAAGGCGTCCCAGCGAAGATGCGCTGCGGATCCCGCCGCTCTCCGGCCGGACGGCGCGGCTGTCAATCCGACGGGGCGGCGGTGGCGGCGGGTTCGAGCCCCGCCAGCGGTTCCAAAAAAAGGGAAAATTAAAAAACAACAACTGGGTATCTCCTCCTCTTCTTTTTAGGGTGACTCCAAGGTGGAGATCGCCTCCCTCCTCCGGGGCAGCCCCGGGAAAAGGGCGCCCCCCTCCGAAAGAGAGGGGGGTCTCTGCCGACGGCTGGCTCTCCCTCTCGTGCTAGGAGTGGATCCCATGACGGATCCCTCGCCGCCGCCGCCTTCGCCGGAGTGCCGTCTCCATCCCGGCTTCCGCTGCGCTTGGAGGGAGGGAGGGAGGGATGGATGGATGGATGGAGGGGGGGCGGGGAGGAGACCCCGGTGTCCTTCAGAGCTTCAGAGGTTAATTATGTGTGGAGAGGGAGGGAGGGAGGGAGGGAGGGAGAAGCCCAGGGGGTGGGCAGAGAGAGAGAGAGAGAGCGAGAGAGAGATCTCCTGGATCGAGGTGGCGGGGGGAGTTGATCTGGGTGTGTTATAAGGGATAGACGGAGGAGAAGAGAGCAGAGCAGGGAGGGGTGGGGGAGGGACGGAGGGGTTCTGTCACACACCCGTGACAAAGCTCGGGGGGGGCGAGATAGTGTCCCAGTCTGTTAGGCACCCTTGGGCGTGCGGGGGGGGGCGTGGAACGGGAGAAAGTCTTTATCGTCCAGGTAGCCCCCTCCCCATATAAAGATGTCTTTTGATTTTTTTTGGGGGGGGTCCGTCTTCCTCTCCTGGGGCATTGATGGGGGGGGGGAAAGACGCCCCTTTCTGTCTGCGGAAGGAAGCCGGGACAGTCCCCCCCCAAGAAGAATTAATTGAAATTAATCCGTAGCGATTGGAGACGGGGGGGGGTGGAGGGTCCGGGGTTTGGACGCGCATCGTTATGTGTGTGTGGGGGAGTTTAATGGGGGGGAGACACGGGGGGACACCCCAAAAGGGTTTCCCTCGCCCCCCCCCGCCGTGGGGTGAAGCTCCGGATAGGAATGTAATGAGTCATGGCAAGAAAATCTCCGCAAGGGTTGCGCTGACTTTGGGGAGGGTCCCTGGAGGGGGGGGTCCCCTGGCTCAATAAGGGGTCTTGGGGTGGGAGGGGGTCGTGCAAGGACACGTGCGCCCCCCTCCCGCCCCCCCAAACCCCCATTGCACCGCCTGGCGGCGCATCCCATATGGGTCAGCGCGCTTTTGCCAGCAGCGCCCCCTGCAGGCGACGCGACGCGTCTCCCGTTCCCCGATAGGAGAGGAGCGGGCGCCCCCCTAGCGGAGGGTCCTATCCGCACCGCGCATTGAAAGCGCGTTTAGAACACGTGTAGAGCGCGCTTGGCTTCTCTCCTCCCCAGAATCCTGGAAGCTGTAGTTTACCTTTCAGGGAGCTATAATTCCCAGCACCCCCTTTGGAAACTATAACTCCCAGGGAAGGGAAGCTTTAAATGCGTGTTAGATGCGGGCAACGGGGGTTGGGGGGGTTGGTGCTTAGAGTGTCGGGGTACTAGAACCAGGGAGAAACCTGGGTTCAAATCCTGACTCCTGGGGTGACCTTAGGGTTGTTTGGGGGGATGAATTAATGCCTCTTGCGAGACAGCGCCCTAGGTGGGGTCAGTACACCTTTCAGACAGGTAAACCATCTCAAACAACAAAGGGGAATTTGAGCATGTGCAGAGTGGCTTTGACTCAGCTGGCTACAGAGAACAGGACTTCTCTTGAATCTCTCCTTTCTCCGCCTCAGTTTGCCTTCTGCTCAATGGGAACAATTGCTACCCATCACAAGGATACCTATATTATCACAAGGATACCACAATTGCTACCTATAAGCACGGTAACAAACAAAAACAACATTCCCACAGTATATTTTTTAAATGAAGGTCTAAACAAGGAGCCCCTGAACATGTACAGAGTTCAATTCCCATTCCCCATATGTCTCTCGCCATCACTTCCAGAAAAGAGAGGGAGCGGAAAAGTGTGGTTTCTGGAAGGGATTTGATCTCAGCGACACTTTAGGATTTGTGTGTGTACAAATTAACCGCACAGTTCGCCCCTTAAATCACAGGCCTCCCGGCTGCGTTTGCCAGAGGCGAGGAGAGAGAGCCTTTACAGATCGATGGAACTGGGACAAGGACTAATGGCTGCATATTCCCACCCTGGGAGCAGTCAATAGACATGGAAATTAGGGAATCTCTCATCGGGGAGCTATAGGTCTCCAGCAGGGGGGAAGAAGGAGGAGGCGAGGTGGGGGTCGCCTGTTCCCCTGCAGAGCCAAAAAGGCCCCCTCTGCTTCTGAATCCATCTCTGTTTGCAATGGGGGAGGGAAGGAACAAAACTCTGGGACAGTGAGAGGTGAGAAAAACTGGGTAGGGGGGCCCTGTCTCTGTTGCCCCCCTTTCACCTGGCTGCCCCCTGCCCCCTGCCCTGGATAAAATGGTGGATTCCCTCACCCCCAGGGTGATCTAGCCAAGGGCCAGATTTCGGTTTGATGAGTCCCTAAGCTACTGAAGGTAATGGGGCCCTTTCTATGTCCAGCTGTCCTTTGTCAACAACAAATTGTCCCCATTTTTGTGTGTGTTGATATATGGTCATTTATGGACCTCATAGGTATCTCATGCCATTTGCCCATGTTGCCCTGCAACCAGTCCATGCAGAATGTAGGCACCCTATATATAGAAAGGAGCAAACTAGTGATATTTTAGGGAGCAGGCGGGGCCCGTGACTGACATCCTAGGAGCCTACAAAACACAAAATCCTGCTGTTGTCTGTAGGTTTTGTTTTATTTGTTTTTAATTTTAACCTTACTACAAGACCACCATATACACAGGGCCAGATTTTGGTTTGATGAGGCCCTAAGCCACTGAAGGTCATGAGGCCCTTTCTATGTCCAGCTGTCCTTCGTCAACAACAAATTGTCCCAGTTTTTTTGTGTTGAATATATGCTATATGGTCATTTAAGGACCTCATAGGTATCTCAAGCCATTTGCCCATGCCAGTCCATGCAGAATGTAGGCACCCTATATAGAAAGGTAAAGGGACCCCTGACCATTAGGTCCAGTCATGGCCGACTCTGGGGTTGCAGCGCTCATCTCACTTTATTGGCTGAGGGAGCCGGCGTACAGCTTCCGGGTCATGTGGCCAGCATGACTAAACCGCTTCTGGCCAACCAGAGCAGTGCACGGAAACGCCATTTACCTTCCTGCCAGAGTGGTACCTATTTATCTACTTGCACTTTGACGTGCTTTCGAACTGCTAGGTTGGCAGGAGCAGGGACCGAGCAACGGGAGCTCACCCCGTCACGGGGATTCGAACCGCTGACCTTCTGATCGGCAAGCCCTGGGCTCTGTGGTTTAACCCACAGCGCCACCCAGGTCCCATGAAGAATCTAGGCACCCTATATATAGAAAGGAGCAAACCCGTGATATTTTAGGGAGCAGGCGGGGCCCGTGACTTACATCTAGGAGCCTACACAACACAAAACACTGTCTTTTTGCTGGAGGAAGACACCCGAACTCTTGAGCTATGCGTACAGGAGACCTGCCCCCAATCTACTAAGGGAGAGGCGTTGCTGTTTCCCAGATCATGCCCGGTTTACCACTGGTGTGCTAGGTGCTGGAGAGGACACCACAAGCGACTTAGATTGACAATGCCCTTTTGCAAACCTTCCTCTGCTAGACGCCGGCCACCAGTGATTTGGCCGCTTGCTTCAAATCAATACCTGAAACGCGGACGCACCAAACTCTGCTTTGTTGGCCTCCAAGCCTCCAAAACTCTGTTGCCTTCTCAGCCTTCGTGCCAACCCTCAGTTGCTTCTCTTCTCCGCGGGGCTTGTTCAGAGTTTCCCCCCAGCCAAACTGACCTTTCCCCTTCCCTCACAGAAAGCTGCTTTTGAGCATTCCGTCGACGGCACCAGAAACGCCTGCAAACATTCCATGACATCAGAGGAGCTCCGCAAATCGTTGAAGAGCGATTGCCAGGAACAGACATCATATTAGGCTGTATTTTAATGTTTTAATGTTGTATTTTAATCTTGTTTTTAAGTTGTATTTCAATCAGTTTGTTTTTATATCGGGTGTTAGCCGCCCTGAGCCCGGTCTTGGCTGGGGAGGGCGGGGTATAAATAAAATTTATTATTATTATTATTATTATTATTATTATTATTATTATTATTATTACAGATTGCAGTGAGGGTTTCCTGCCTATCATAAACAAGAGATTTCCTTTCATCCGCTGCAAATAGAATGTTTCCCAAAGTTCTGGGCACCTCAGTTTCAGAAGGAGATGGGCAAACTGGAAGGTGGGCAGAGAGGGCGACCAGGATAACCAAGGGTCTGGAAACCATGCCTGATGAGGAACAGTCGAAGGAGGAGGGCATGTTTCGCATGGAGAAGATGCGATAGCCATCTTCAAATATCTGAAGAGCTGCTGCCACTTGGGAAATGGAGCAAGCTGGTTTTCTGCTGCTCTGGAGGGTAACCGGGACCTCCTCTCCTGGTCTGCCCCGCAGAGGACTTTAAGGTCCATGAATAAAATAGTTTAGAGGTCCCGGGCCCTAAGGAAGTCAGACTATCCTTCCCCAGGGCCAGGGCCTTCTCAGTGGTGGCTCCGACCTGGTGGAATGCTCTGTCCCAGGAGACCAGGGCCCTGCAGGATTTAACCTCCTTCCGCAGGGCCCGTAAGACAGAGCTATTCCGCCTGGCCTTTAATTTGAATTCAGCCTGATCTTTTATTTTCCCTTCTCTTCCCTCCCCCTCCCCTTTTATGAAGATCACCCACTCTGAGACCCCACAGCTAATTCTCCCCATGTCTCCTCGCAGGCCCAAATAGGACTAACTTAGCCAGCTAGCCCTGGGGATTATCTAATGTATTTTTGATTTCTGAATTTTATTGTTATTCATGTTTTTATACTGTATTTTATGCTGCTTTTGTAATTAAGTGCTTTAAAATTGTTGTTAGACGCCCTGAGCCCAGTTTTTGAACCAGGAAGGGTGGGGTATAAATAAAATATTATTATTATTATCCAAACTGATGGATTCAAATGACAAGGAAGAAGATTCGGACGAAAAGTCAGGAAGAACCTTCTGATGCTAAGAGCCGTTCGACGTCGTAAGAAACTCCCTCGATGGACTCTCCTCCCTCGGAGGTTTCCAAGCAGAGGTTAACCTGTCCCGGGGCTCCTCTAAGCTGCGATCCCTGCATTGCGGGGGCGGGTTGGACTAGATGACCTTTGGGGAGCCCAGCTCTGAAACCCTACGAGGTTCACCCTGAATGCGAGGAGAAGAAAAAAACACCCTGACATCCTCCCTCTCTCGGAAAGCGGTGGGTGC